GTTTACTCCAATGTTCTATGCATTCTTCTTTTATTCCTAAAATATAGAAATCTCAAATTACCAACCTATGTGGTTGTTCACATAAAGTACGGAAAATATTACCTGAAATGATTAATTTTGCTATACGACCATCATTTAACTTCATTATACCATCATTTGCAAGCCGTTTCACACTTGAATTGCCGACTACCAGTATACTCTTAGTATCATTATAAATGACCAAATGATACTTTGCTGTTACTGTTGGATTCGATGGTGAATACTATGCTTTCGGTTTTGTTGATCGTTTTGTTATTATTTGTGTGGCTGTGCTAGCCATATCTAATGTTGACTAGTAGAATATCTAAAAAATGAAATTTCAAGTTAATGATTTATAATGAGTTCAACGAACAATGCAGCATGAACTATTCAAATATAGATCACATAAATTTACTACATTTTCTCTCCTATAGAAAAAATTTGCTCTCAAAGATCAACTGAAGTATCATTATATAAAAAACGAAGTATAAAAGAGAAAAAATTTCTCAAAAATCAAGTAATTAATCATGTTCATTGTATGATAAGATGTTGGTCACAAATAAATAGTCATTTTTTTTCGACAACAACGCAATGGTTTACAATTCGATCAATAAGAACAACATTGTATTGACAATGACGTTTTTCCAAAATAAAATATAAGTAATCGATGGGGTTTTTTTTGAATAAATAATAATAAAAGGAATTTTTGAAAGTATCACTGAATAATTCTTTAACAGAACAATGTTTAATAACTGCATAACCACAACCATTACACATAAAAAATGAATCAATACTACCAAATCGTTTTTCTTGAGTATTACCAATAAGTGAATATTGAACAAAATAACTAACAGAATTATGGCTCTTATTATACAGTAATGAAAGAAACATTTTAGTGTGAATAAAAAAACGACGATAAACTGTAAAGCAAGAGTTCAAACCATAGCATCTACACATGGAAGAATGAAGTTCTTTTAAAAAGTCATAGGTACTTGCCAATGTGAGTGCTGGATCATACAGTCCATTAGTTGTTGTCTTTGTTTTTTTTGTTTTGAATTGCAAAGTCAATATTGTAATAATGGATAATAGAATCAGCATAAAATCGAGTATCGTGATGACTACCAATTACAAAACCAATAAATGATTCTTGACCAGAACAGCCAAGGTTGCACAACGATCCATGTGTTTCATATAAAGATGCGAAGTGAATATGTAGATGTAACTTCAAACTTTGTGAACACTCATAAAACAATTCATGGTCTCTATAGAATTCGATAAATAGTTGATTAACAATTTCACTTGTTTTTTCACTAAAAACATCAGCACTATGTAATAAGCGCATGAAACACACATATAATGCCAAATGAGAATATTGTTCCATTTGCATAAATCAATTCAGATGTGGTAATAAACCATAGAATAAAATGTTTCGAACTTCGTTAGCTTTTACAAAACCAAAATTATCAATTGATCGTAATTTTCTGTGAAAGAAATCTAAATGCAACAAGCAGAATCATATTTAAAAAAGTGAAGCAAAAGAGATAAAGATTATTGCATCAATCAAGAATAGCTTACGTGGTAAGGCTTGATTGGCCAGATAAAAATTTAATTCTTTACGTTGTACTTGTTTCAATTTCTGA